TGGGGAGCAGCATCCAGCCACAAACAAGCAGCTGCTCGTTCCCCCCACATGGCTTAATAAAAATACAGGAAAGATAACGTCAGCGAGCTCAGGATATTTCCACCAGATAACGGCTTCCCTCTGAGAGATAAATGCCGCCGCAAAGATGAGGTATTTATCAAAAATTCATGCCGACACAAAGCCGAGACATTTATTTTTAAAGCCGGCAGCGCGGTGGTGACAATGTCTTGCTACAAAAGCTTCGCTTCCATCATGCCCGGCGATTGATGGTCACTTAATTGGTCTCTGCAGCAGGTTCTGGAGCCGAGTGTGCCTCCAGATTGGCTGGCAGCAAAATACCTATTTTTCCCAGTGACCAATCGTGGGCGAACAGTGCGCATGCAAAGTGGCTGGGCACGGTGCAAGGTTCTGGAGCCCAGCAGCAATACCTGCCCCTTCACCCGTGGCACACCCTAAGGCCTCTAAGGTGGTTCAAATGCCACTTAAACACCAAAAAATAGGGCTTAGGGGAAGCGTCAGTGGGTCGCAGGGTTGTGCTGGTCCCCGACGCGGGGGTGGCTCCCTCCTTTTCTGGTTGCAATGGGCCTTAATTCGGGCATGCACCTTTTTTTTTCCTGCTGAAACGTGGGCCAACACATTTTTAGGACCTGAGCATATACTTTATGGCTGGGTTAGGAGCCATTCGGCTGGGTAATGAAGCTCAGGGGGGCTCAGCTTTCAAAATACAATGGAGAAAGGAGAGAAGGGAAACAAAGGGCGATGAACCAGATGGTCTCTTATACCAATGCTTTTTGGGACACAATTCCACTAGGGTCCCCAAAACCTTACCTTTGGGCCAGGTTTCCCAGTGCTTCCCCTAGGGCCTCTTTCCCCACGTGGACCCTTAAAAAGACACAAAAGATGATATTTAAGCCTTTCTTGCTACCCACAGCCCTACACTGTGATCACCCAAAGCACCCAAGCACCTGAGCTGCACCGGGTCAGCGAGTCCCCCCACCAGCAACAAGAGGATGACAGGAGCCTTCAGCGTTGCCACTGGAGGTCTGACCTTGTTATGACCTCAGACCGTGTTGACCGGTGAGCCCCAGCCCCAAATCACTGTCCCCCTCTATTTAGCTTTAACTGCTGAAGGCCAGATCCTACCCAGTGAGGACATAAATCAGATGACCCTTTCCCCTGCCCTTAACAAGCTTTCAAACTGCACAAGAATGAAGAAATGGATTGTTACCGTTGGACCGCGCTGCCCCCTTGGACCTGGTTTGCCAGGTGTCCCCTGGAACGGAAAAAGAAACGAAGAGGAGTTAGCGGCCAGCCCGGCAGGCTGAGCTCACGGCAGATGAACCCCCAACAGAGCTCATCAGGCACCAACCGCCCCCAAAGCCTCCCTGGTTCTCACCTGCAATGAAAAGGACAACAAGAAGTTTATTTTTGGCTCCTGATTCTTTTCTTTAATTTCATTTATAATGCTTAGACAGGCCTGGATGGTAACCCCAATGCCCAGAGAACATCTCCCATCTGAGGGAAGGAATCTCCTAAGAAAAAGTATCCCGAGTCCTTTAAAACACCGCAAAGACTTTCAAAAATGAGGCCAACCCCTCGGACCAGACAGTCTCCTAAAAAACCATCCAACACCTCAGAGCCAGCAGAAAGCTCTTCAACTCGGCCACTCCAAAACCTACTTTTTTTTTTGCTGATGGTTGCTGGTCCCTTCACCCAGGTCCCGAGGTGGGGACGGGCTGGTCCTCGCGCCGGCCGGGAGCCGGGCAGGCTGGCTCGCCCCCACGCACACACGCGTTGCGAGACCCGTATTGTTAAATATATTTAAGGAATGACAGCAGCAGAGCGGGGTTCCTGCTCTGAGCGGTTATTTTACGCCACACAAGTCAATTAAGCTGCCCCACATATTTACAAATCTTTCTTCATCGCTGTGAACTTTGTGCTACACAAGTAATTTAAGACCCTGTTTTGCAGCAGCGACAAAGCAGCGGGCTTATGAGATCTGACAGACGCACTCAGCTTCCTCTAATGGGGGACTGTGATTAATTCTGACAGAAAAAAGACAGAGACGGCTGGGTCCTAAATCTGACATTATGTTAAGCTCCATTACCCTGCGCCTAAAAGAAAACTAATGGCCCTCAGCGCACTCCCTGAAAACACTATTTTGGCTCGTGTCAAGTTACCAAAATTCCCCGTAGGTTTAACTTTCTTCTTTTGGACCCGCAGCCCACTATTGTTCCCAATCACCTGTTAGAGGAAGGAAGAGAAAGACTTGCTCTCTATGTAAGGCACACAGAATGCTAAAAATATCGCTTGCCATTTTCTGCCCCAAATCCATCATCTCACAATCTCGCCTTCTCGTATTTGGCGCTCATTAACCAGGCGAACATAAAACAGGAGCTGGAAAACTTTACAATCAACTTTCTTCAAGCTACTAAAATTAGTCCTGCT